AAAAGGTAAAATCGTAATTTATCGGTCGTCTTTTCCACACAACAAACTTCTGTCAAACCCTAACAATGGTGGCCAACTACTTTTTAGCTCGTTTTTACTGTAACTTAACTTGTTTTCAACTGGATTTAGCCTAAAACTAGTATGTCTAACACCATATATCTCTTTTCTAACCAAAAATCAAAAGATTTCAAGTTTTTTTTTGTTTTTTTGTGATTTTCAATACGACTTTATCTAAATTCGGCGGTACACCTTCGCCAAGCGCGTCTCCGGTGCTTCCGCAGCCGCGGCTGCGGTTTCAAACAATTTTTTTTTTTAATAATTAAAATGGCATTTTCGTAATAAATTTTTTTTGCTAAGGTTTATGTGTCTTTTATGATCTTTGTTAAGTTTCAACCTTGAGTAAGAGTTGTTTCAGTAATTATATCATTTTTCAAAGTTGTTCTAGTAAATTATCTATAAAAATTAGGATGACAATCTTCGTTCACAAAAAAAGCAAAAAACCTAAGTAAATTGTATTATTTCAACATTATATGAGACAGTCAATTAATCAACATTATTCAAAATTTGTTGATTACTAAATTCAAAATTTCAACAAATTTGTTTTTACAATTTGGAGATTTGCAATGTTATTTTAGTGTAATCGAAGCCGAAAACTCGATTTTATATTTTTCTTTCAAATTCTCGTATTTTTAGCTTTACACGATGTATAATTTTCATCGTTCAAACTATCTGAGCTTGTCACATGATGTATCCATTTCCAATAAACAAAGGTTGAAAGTTAAAAAGAAATCACCTTTTTGTGTGATTCTTCTATATGAGCTTCTAGTATATATAATCTTTATAATTAAAAAAAAAAAAAAAGTCAACACCTGACTTTATTTTGTTGAAGCACACATGAAAAGCCCAACACAAACTTATCTTGTCAAGTCCATGTAATTAGGTTTCTTAACAAGATATATATATTATATACATGTGTGTGTAATGAACATCAATGAATTCAATTAAGGTTGCCGATTTCTTCTTCATCAAAGAAAATCCCATTTCTAGTTAAGGATTCTCTTCAATTTTGTGTAAAAATTTTCATGATTTTCATATGAACAAATGGTTGATATAATTTTTTTTTTGTGTGTGACCATCGTAAATCAATTTACTTTGACGAGTATAATATACAAGACACATCTAAAACATAATTACCAATGGTTGAAGCCTTCAAGGAACAAATATTACAAAACTGTTTGATGTTTAGATTCTTTTAAAATTGAGTATATAATTTACCTATTTGCTCATGCCTCAATTAATGCAGAAGCC